GTGTAAATGGATCTTTAAAAAACACACACAAAACAATAGTAGTAGTAAGAGCTAACATTTATCAAGCACTTACTATGCCTAGGCACTGTGCTAAGCACTAGGCATCCAACATCTCATTTAATCCTCAAAAGTCTCAAGATACAGGTTTTATTATTATCATATTATACAGATGAGAAAACGAAGGCTTCCAGAGGTCAAATTATTATGCCTATATCAAAAAGCCGGGGAATGGTGGAGTCAAACTCTGGCTGACACCAGAGTCCACACTTTTAACCACTATGCTTACTTAACAGTGTATTCTGCTTTGATCCAGCTTACCTATTAAGCTTCTATGAAAGATTTCATTTGGGGGGGGGAGTTATTCTGCTTTAAAAATGTTTATAAAACGTTGAAATACAGTCTAATCAGATAGGACCACATCTGTAGCCTTAAAAGAGCAAGTAAATTGACAAGGATTGAGATACACCACTTGATACACCTTGCAATAGTTCTGGGAACAGAAAGTCTTCCTTAAGTACTTCATTTTACTTGCATATTTTAATACACAGGGAAGCAATAGGGACCCAAATACCGGGCACTCCCTTCCCAAAGCAAGGGGCAGAGCAAGAAAAGTATAATGTGGGGATAGGTGGTATATAGCAAGGGAATGGTGGCCCAGAGTGAGGTCAAAGCCTATGTTGGGTGAGGAGGAAATCTGCAAAGAAGAGTGACCCAATGTGGGGAGGAGCAGGGTGATGAGGTAACCTACACATTGGTTAGTCTAGAATGGGGAATCGGTGCCCAAGCATGGAGAAGCAGGGCCTGAGGATTAGCAATAGTAAGGCAATGTTAATTTTCTGATTTTAGTAGTTACATTGTGGTTGTATAGAAGAACTTCCTTGTTTGTAGGAAAACTAAAGTATTCAGGGGTGATGGGGCATCAGGTCAGCAACTTAACACAGACCACTTCCTGGCTTCTGAGACAGCATTCCTCTGATTCCACTCTCTAGCTCTTTCCTCTCTCTCCTGTAGGCTCATGCTCCTGTTGTTGGCCATTAAATGTTGGAATTACTCAAGGTTCTTAGATGGTCTTACACCTATGGCTCAATTACCACCAAATACAAGTTACTCCGAGATTTATATTTCCAACAAAAATCTCTTTCCTGTGTTCCAAAGCCGTATTTCTTTTTTTTTTTAATCCTCGCCTGAGGATATTTTTCCCATTGCTTTTCAGAGAGTGGAAGGGAGAGAGAGGGAGACAGAGAGAGACAGAGGGATGTGAGAGAGATACATGGATTGGTTGCCTCCTGCAGGCGCTGGGACCAAGGTCAGGGATCCAGTCTGCAACAGAGATATGTGCCCTTGATCAGAATCAAATCTGAGACCCTTCAGTCCATGGGCGGACACTCTAACCACTGAGCCAGGCCAGCTAGGGCCCAAAGCCAGATTTCAAAATGCCTCCTAGATGTCAAGAATGACCTCTCCCTTGCCCTACCCAAAAAAATAACTACCCAGTTGCCATAAGCCAGAAACCTAGAAGTTACACTTAAGTCCTCTCTTTTCACTCCCTGAATCCAATCCATCACCAAGTCCTACTGATTTTTCCTCCTATGTATCTCTAGAATCTGTCCAACTCTGCAGTTCCACCAATATCTCAGTCCTCACTGCCAACAGCTCTCAGCTAAACGCATCTTACTCTCCTCCATCTATTCACACTATTGAGCCGTTGAGGGATCATGCCCTTTCGCCCATCACACCACTCACTCCCCCCCCCCATCAAAAATAAACCAACAAGGCAGGGCTGGCCTGGCTCAGCGGTTGAGCATCCAGGAGGTCGAGGTTGGCTTCCCAGCCAGGGCACAGGCCGGGGTGGAAGGCTCGATCCCCAGTAGGGGGCGTGCAGCAGGTAGCCGATCAATGACTCTCATTGATGTTTCTCTATCTCCCTCTCCCTTCCTCTCTCTGAAATCAATAAAGAAATGTTTTTAAATAAATAAATAAACAAACACCAACAAAAACACTCATCAGTCTTCTGGTAAAAGCTACAAAGTCCTGCAAGGCCTGACCTCTACTCACCTCCAGCTTCATCCTGTACCCCACTCCCCTTCATTCTCTTCCTACTGGCCCCACCCGCCTCTGTGGGGTTTTTTTAGTCATTTTCCTCCCTTTGTCACAGGGCCTCTGCACCGAGGTTCTACATGGAATAGTCTGCCTTCCTCTCTTCACCCACCTAATTAGAATTTTCCCTTCAGGCATCTTTTCCTCAGAGAAGCCTCCCTGCTTAATTCAGGCACTCAGAACATCAGGTGCCCCTCCAAGGTCGCGCTTATTTTACATTTCTTAGTGAGATACTTTGTTTAACATTTATTTTCCCCACCAGACTCAAACCCCTGAGGTCAGGGCCATGTTTGGTTCACAATGTATCCTCAATGCTTTGCACAATAAATATCAGTTGGACCACTAAGGAGAAGGCCTAGTTCCCAGGTACGAATCCAAATTTCTCAACAAGACTGTGCTCTCTGGACAGTCAGGAGTCGGACAATTCCTTCATCTCTGTCTCTCACAGGGGCACAGAGCAGGCCCTGATAAAAGGCTGGCAGAAACAAGTCGGCCTCCTCAGACAGGACCCTAGTGGAGGCTGGGAGACAGGGCTTTCCTCCCCCGGGGCGCCCGGGACCCGGCTGGACACAGTAGGTGCTCGCTGAAATTAGCCGTCGAGGGCCCCAGGCGGCCACAGACACCCCAAAGGTCCGCTCCAGCCTCGAGAGGGAGCCGAGGCTACCACATAGCCGAGCTGGGAGAGCTGGGCCCGCCTCTGCCCCTTGCAATCAAAACTTCAGCTGAGAAGCACCAGGTTCACGCCACAAAACCAAGGCACCGCCTCCAGATCCCGCGGCCGCCCGCCCCCGACCTCCCTCAGGCTTACTCGGCTTCAGCTTCAGGTCTCCCGGCCGCTGCATTGCGCGAAACGCCAAAACCCCGTTAGCGGGTTCCACCCACAAGACACAGCGCGTCCAGGCGGGACTCCAGCTCCATCCACCAATCCTGGAATCGTACTCTCGTGACATCAGAAAGAGCTGACCAATAACAGGAGATCTTTTGTAGGAGCGCTGAGGGAGTATTGGGAGCCGATTGGTTTCTCCAAACCGGATGTTCTAGGGAAGGGCTAAGTCGGAACCAATCGTGCGGTGCGTGGGGGTATCGGCGCGGTCCGAGGCGGCGCTGAGGAGAGCGGCTACCGCCATGATAGAACAACAGAAGCGTAAGGGTCCAGAGTTGCCGCTGGTTCCAGTCAAGAGGCAGCGCCATGAGTTGCTGTTGGGAGCGGCGGGGTCGGGCTCCGGAGCGGGACAGCAGCAGGCGGCGCCGGGAGCTTTGCTGCAAGCGGTGAGTGAAGGAGCAGGCGGCCTTCGGCCCTCAGCTCATCTTCCTGTCTCCAGTGAGCCCTGCACCGGGTGATCCCGCACCGGCCCTTTCAGCGCACTGCGGGGCGGAACGGGAATCGCTACCTAGAGTTAAGGCAGAAAAACACTGAAAGCGGCCGACATCCTACGGATATTCCACCCGTTTCCCTGTGTGACGCCCGTTTTCAGCGTCTTGATCTCCCTGTGAAGTTGTGGTAGAATTAAAGTTAAGGACCTTGAGCTCAAAATCAAGAGCGATGTTTTCGCATCCTAAATCTTCAGGGATTCGGCATAGGATAAACATTCAGAAAAGTGTGAAGAATGGATGGGAGGGTGATGAGTAATTGAATGAATGAATGAATGAATGAATGAGGAAAGGAAGGACATTAATGGCACTGGATCGCTTTGGGACTTTGGGCAAGTTCCTTTCCCCTTTACTTCTCTGCACTATTAACAACAACTGAAGAATAGTTAACATTCATTGAGTGGTTTTATTTTAAATGAAAACTCCATTAATCTTGGTAACAGCCTAAGAGCTAGGAACTGTTATTCCATTTTGTGGATGGGAAAACAAACTCTTATCTAGTAGTGGTAGAAACAGATCTTAAACCCAGAACCTAGGGTTTTTAACATTTTTTGTAAGATAGAGGTAGTGATCACACCTCTCCTTCTGTTAGGCTCAGATAAAGAAATACGTGTCCTCTCAACTCCTCAAGGAGCAGGTCAGCAAATCTGGCTGGCACTGTGTTCATAATGTATATCCGCAATTGCTGCCATTTTTACCACCCCCATCACTAGCTCCTGATAGCTATTATTATCTCTCCAGGCATTATGGCAGTAGGGTCGTAACTGACATTCCTATTTCTACTCTTGTATGGTCAGCCTATTCTCAGTCCAGCAGCCAGAGGAATTCTAAACATCCAGTTATGTTACCCTCTGCCGAAAACTTTTGGAGACTTTCCACTTCACTCACTGTAAAACCAAAATCCTTACAATCTTTTGCCCTGTTTGCCTTTACCTCTCTGATCTACCAATTTTCCATTGCTCACACTTGCTCCAGTCCCACTGGTTTCCATGCTCCTCTACTAGATAGAGTACTTTGCATTTGCTGCTCCTCTACTAGAATACTCTTCCAAATGTCCGTATGGTTTACACACTCAGCTCCTCCAAATCTTTGCGCAAATATCACTTTTTTAGTGAGGGTTTTCTGATCTGCTTTAAATTACAATACCCTGTATTCATTAACCCACATTGCTTTGTTTTTCTTCATAGCACATACCACCATCTGTATGTTTTACTTGTTTTCTCTCTCTTCCTCTTTCTATCCCTGGTTCCCACTAGAATGCAAACTCCATTTATTTTGCCAGTGCCTACAACAGTGCCTGGCACATAGTATTTTTTACATAATGAATAAGCTAGAAACTACTGAAGAGATTTGGGGATTATTGATAATGTACTTGTTCATCTATCTGACAAGTATGAATATCAGCCCAAGTTCCAGCATATTGCCCCAGCCTAGACTTAATGTCAAGACCATAATCAAAAGGACTTTCCCCAATAATCTGTACCCTGCAGGGTTGTTGGGAAGCTCAGTTCAATCATTCATTCATTAAATGAGCTGGAGATTGGGAAAATAGCGTTGAATGACACCGGCAGGATCCCTGCATTCACAGAGCTTTTCTAGTGGGGAAAAAGATAAAATGTGTAAACAAATACATAAGGAGAGTAATTTCAGTAATGGTAAGTGCTGTGAGGGGATATAGTAGAGTTCATGGAATAAAGAGGGAAGGTTGGGTGCTGCTTGAGTTTGAGTGGTCAAGGAAAGACTTAATAAACAGGAAACAATTGAAAAGAGCCAAACAGGAAAATCTAATGGAAGGGGATTTCTGTCGGGGGCAACAAATATAAAGATCCTGAGGCAGAAATGAGTTTAACATGTTTGAGCAATTAAAAGTTGGCTATGGGGCAGGAGCAGAGTGACAGGAAAGTTGCTAAAGCAGGGAGACACTGGAAACTTCAGCAGGAGAGTATCAAATTGGAGACATAAGTTGTGTGAGAAGAGTTGCAATTCTCTAGATCAGGAGAAATCCACTCATTTATGGCTTTCCTTGTCTTTTCCTTACACCCACTCCCCTATTTTTCAGCTTCCTTTGCCAGTATTTGATGATTGTCTCTTTTTTGTTTAGGGGCCTCCAAGGTGTTCCTCCCTTCAAGCCCCAATTATGCTTCTCTCAGGACATGAAGGGGAAGTGTACTGCTGCAAGTTTCACCCCAATGGATCCACCTTAGCATCCGCAGGATTTGACCGACTTATATGTAAGGCGTACTTTTTGAATCTGGAATAATCGCTCTCTGCCAAATAGTGATTATATCTTAAAACTTTTGGTGCCACGGAAGGTATCATTCTGATTTGGTCACATAACAAACTACATGGCTAATGTGCTAAAATAGGGTCGTGAAAATGCTGAGTGACCTTGGTTGTAGAACTTGGGGTCCGTGTGGTAAATACAGAAGCAATTATGTATTTGAAAAGTGAGTTCCTCTAGTTTGAGAATATCTTCCTCATGGAAGTGAATCTTGAGCTGATTTAGCAAGATAAGAATTCTAGGCTTAACTGGTTAATGGGAGCAATAAGGAGAGAGGTAACTTTTCTTTTCCCCAAAGGTGAAAGGCCCTCCTCTTTGTTCACTCTCAGAATCTTAGCATATGGGAAGGAAGGGGGGGGTGTATCTTAAAGTGGCAACTCACTTGGATAATCTACCTACCTGTACATCATTAGGATCTGCTACCAGATTCTCAGCTCCTAGTCAGGAACACCATTTTTGAGAAATAAGTAGAAAAAATCACTTTGGGAGATCATGAGAAAAAGCAAAAAAGAAGGTAATAGAAGCCTCTGACTTTATTTCTTCTGGCATCATTTACTGCATTGTGAGATGAAATGAGCCCTTTGCCTCTTTGCTTATAACTCTGTACCTCAGAGTGGATGAGAACTGTCTGTTTTGATTTAGATGTTCTAGCTCTATGATCCTTAAATGTTCTGGTGGCCATGCATCTGGAAGGCTTAGGCATCTTTGCAGAACATCCATAACTGCTGTATATATGTACCTTAGGTACAGAGTTGCTCCTTAATAATTCTCATTAAAGTTTACTCCTTGCTAGAGCAAGCTTACTAAGGATAGCAACTGTGTCTATTCATTTACCTCGTTTTATTCTAGCACCTGGCATGTTATAGGTGCTTACTACATGTGGATTGAGTAAGTGTAATATAAAGTCATTGCCATGTCACCTTGAAGTCATTTGTGGATTCCTAGATTTTCCAAAAGTGCTGCCATTTTGCAATCTACTTATATTCATAGGAGACAAGCAATAGTGAGTGTCAGCTTTTTAAATATTATAGGGGAAAAATTTAAGATTTAAAAAATTGTATTAACTAACTTTTTTACATTATAAAATACAAAAGTATTGCATTATTTTTGTTAGTGTCAGGAAAATTGGTCCAACTGGTAGAACCAATAGTGTTCCAAGGGAGTATTATTTCAGAACTGTTGTTCTGGTAAATTCATAAGTACCCTTTCCGTGGCCAGTAATAAATTTCCTTTTGCCTGGCAATGCTCACAGAACCCCTGTCTCCCTAACAGTGTTGTGGAATGTCTATGGCGACTGTGATAACTATGCAACATTGAAGGGACACAGTGGAGCAGTGATGGAGCTGCATTATAACACAGATGGCAGGTGAGTATTCTGCATAGTGGAATGACAGCTGCTGCTTACACTAATTCTCCTTGGCATCCTTTTGCGTTTTGTCCTTGAGTTTTCTCCCTCATGAGACCATGCTATCAAAAACCGCTGCATTTGGGCAATTGCTTTATTCTGTCACTGTCACTCCGAGTAAGGTGTTTATTGTTCCATGTAGGCATTTATAAATACATCATCTCTATCCTCTAACATATCAGCATCTCAGACAAATTTGTTTTCTTAAGGCATAAAACAATAATTTTTATATGTAGAGATTAGCTATTTTTATTATAAAAGTAATAAAATATTATTTTGAAAAACCCAAAAAACAGAACCATGAAAAAATAGCCCCTATTCCTACCCTCCAGCGACAATCACTGTTAATATTTTTCTCAAGCCTTTTTCCTACTCAAAACTGGTTTTTACTTATATATTAGAACTATGTTTACGATATTGTCTGCTGTTTTTTTCCTTAACATTATTCACCTAACATATCTGTTTGTCATACTATTTATTATAAACATTTTAATGATTGCATAACTTTAGGATAACTATAGATAATATATAAATATGTTTCTAGAAGGTAATTAATTCCATTAGGTATTTCAGTAAATACTCATTGTTTTACACCCCCGACCTCTAAAACATTAGGGTTCCTTGAATCAACTGGTACATAGCCTTGTATACATTTTCCTATTAATATTTGAGTAAAGAAAGCCTTATAAAATAACTATAACTTAAGAATTATTCTCAGAGCCCGGCCGTGCGTGGGCTCAGCGGTTGAGCATTGACCTGGGATCCAGGCGATCGGGGTTCGATTCCCAGTCAGGGCACATGCCCGGGTTGCGGGCTCGATCAATGACTCTC